TTTTTAGCAGTGACCTTCAGACGCCGTTTCCGCGCTTTTCAGGGGATTTGGGCGCTGCGGCTGATTTCTGTTTCACAGCCGCGCTGCTTCCGCGGCCAGCCTGCATTTGCAAAGCCGAGACGTAGCTCCATCCTCAGGGAGGCAGCGGCTTTGAACTGCAGATCAAGAGGAATTTCCAACCCTCTGATGTCGGCTGCAGAATGCAGCTGCACCGGTTTGGGAGGCCTCCCCAGGCCGCCCCGGTCGCTCCCTGCCCGCCACCCCCGCCTCCCAGCGCTCCTTTTCCTGTCCCTTCTTCCCATCCAAACCTCCCCAACCCCAGCGCAGCCCTCCCAGGCTCAGGCCCTGACATTTCTGCCCGTTCCGAGCGAGGGCTGGGGCGGCCCTGAAGATGTGACATAAATAATTTATCCCGAAAGACAGCCATCACAGGATTTAAGGTCACTCAGGCTTTTAAAATCGTATCAGCATGCTTTCAGAGCAAGAGCTGCCACCTCAATTTGGAGCGGTTCGGAGAGCCGGCGCATCTCTGCGTGCAGACAGGCAGCCACGCTCCGACCCCGCGGGACTCAGAGGCTCGCTGTGAATTATTCACAACCCACGGTCACTGACAATGAGCTCTGAAAACCCTGAACACAAAGTTCCTAACGCCGCAGGGACCGACTGCAGCACCTCGTGCAGCCCCAGCTTCCGCCGTTGCAGCCCCAGCTCGGCCGGGTCCCCGAGCTGCACGATCGGCTCACAGCTCTCCGCAGAGCTCAGTTCATTTGGCAGAGGAAACGTTTAATCAGCGGCGAGGACTCACGTCCTGCCATTAGGCTGCGGCAAAGGATGGAGCAGGAAAGGCCCTTCCCACGGGGCCAGAACTTCCCTGCTGCTCCCGCTGTGGGTGCCGGAGAGGAAGGCGGGGAGGGAAAGGTGGCGCACGTGGCACCGGGCAGCACTGCTCAGACCCTCGTGCTCTGACCATCATCCTCGATTGCTCCGGCGGGAGGAAGCTGAGGGAGACGTGAGGACTTCCCGACGGCTTCGAGGGCGACCCGTGGCCGAGAATAATGTGTGCAGCCCCGGAGAACAATGCGCCGCAGGGCGGGCAGAAGCGCTTTGTAGCGGCTGCCAAACACGCACCTTCCCACACCGAGAGCGGAGCAACAGGGGCTCCTCGAGGACAACGTGAGGCTCCACGCAGGATGGGAGCAGAGGGGCCCCGCCGTCCCCACGCAGTAACTCGTGTGCCGCACACGTCGGCCGCCACGCGCCGCAGCAAAGCATCACTGCCTGCCTTCAGGCTCAGCCAGGCTGCAGGTGAAGCAGCACCGGCAAAGGAACGCCGCCAGGACCCGCAGCCTTTCCCACCGCCACTGCATGCAGTTCTGTACAGAACAGCACCTCCAGCTCAACGCCCCCAGTAACACCAACAGCAGCCGTGGCACCCGCTGGGGAAACGAGACTGGGCTCAGGGCGTGGATGGGGCAGGTCCCACTGGAAGCATCCAGGTTATCTGGCACATCCTGAGCTCCAGCCCTGCTGCGACACGGCCCTCAAGGCCCAGCACAGCGGCAGCGTGGACTCCCAACCAACCACCCCAAGCCATGCTGATCTCACAGTGAGGAAGTCACTGCTGATTGCTTCCGCAGAGCAAAACCGCCTGAAGAATCACACCTTTCCCATTAGCAGGGAGACCAGTTGGGGAAAAATGCACAAGCTGCCATAGAAAACCCAGCACTAAAATGTTATTCTGCGGCACACGCGCGTTTGATGCTTGAGCAGGACCCTAAAGCTGCAGACACCTTACAAACGGGCCTCATTGATGGCACACGTCAGCAGGGTGCTCCCACTGCACAACAGCCACACATGCATCAACGCAGCCCAGCGAAGCTCCCTCGCATGAGGTGAAAATCTCCGGGCCTGGGCACACACTGGGGCGCTGAGCAGCTGTTCTGTGGTGCAGGGCACCGAGCTGCAGGGGGAAAGCGAGCCAAGGGCTGTCAGAGTGAGCACCCTGCAGTGCCAGGTCAGCAGGTGCCAAGAACAGCTCTGAGTGCACGGCCAGCACAGAGGGGAAGGAGGCCTCGCTCTGAGCTGTGACCTACTAATGCGGGGTGACAGACAGAGACTGAGACACGGCCGCACGGTCCCTGCGTGCCAGCACTGCTGGTGAGCACGCAGCTGCCCCACGGCTCGGGATCTTGTGGCTCCTGAGCAGCCCCACGGCTGCCAGCTCACCTCACAGTGGGAAAGCAAAGTGGAGCACGAGCCTCCGCGCACCCAGCAGCGTCACTCCTTGCCCCACAAGTATCTCTGCCCAGGTGCCACATCCCTGGCTGGTCCGGCCGGTGTTGCAGGTATCTCCAGGTCTCCTGACAACATGCTTGGGAGAAAGGAAGCAAGAAAGGGGAGCAGGAAGGGGCCGTGGGAAGCAGAACAGAGCAGAGCACGGTGCCGCACAGGGCACAGGAGTCTCCGCTGTCGGCACTGCAATGCCCACGGGCTGCTGTTCCAGCTCAGGAAAAGACCAATGCACATTCAAGCCAAGCCGGTAACACTGGAGCAGTGAGCCTGGGGAGCTGTGCTCATTCCAGCACTGCCCTGGCAGACGGTAGAAACCCAACACGCTCGGCCCCCCGCTCTGAGGGCACTTCCCCCCCCCGGCTCCCTCCTCCCACCTTTGCTTCCCAGCAGAAAGCTACTTCTTTGGCAGAGCAAATCTGCCTTCCTTCCAAGCAGCCAGATGTAAGTAAGTAGGTCAGACAAGGACCAGAGCGCCTCCACGACAGCACTTTAGAGCAAAGCAAAGCGGGCAGCGAGCCCTGACCTGGAACGCGCCCTGGCACCCGCGGAGCAGGGCAGCCTGCGTCACTTGGAGGTAACGCGCCCAGACCCGGCTCCGCAAGGGCAGAAAGCCCCACAGCCTGGCTGCGCTCCTGCATGGCAGCCTTCATTTCAGGGCCTGAAATCCTGCAGCTACAGCGGCCACAAGCTCTGCAGCCTCATGCACCGCAGCGCCGGCTGGCTGGGAGCCGCAGGGAGCCGCACACCTACTTACAGCTGGAGGAATAAATTCAAACAGATCTCACACACTGCAGAAGCAGCAGTGCAGGGGGCGAAGGTGGCAAAACGGTGTCAGTCACCCATACTAACATCCCAGCACACGCTCATGGCAGCACTGGGCTTGGCAAGCCGACAGCGCCAAGGGACGGAGCCAAGCCCGCCCTCACCCCGCTCAGCACAAAGAGGGGTCTGTGCCGGCAGCCATGGGAAAGCAGGCTGTGTGCTCACATTCCTATGGGGCCAGGGGGCTCTGGTGCCAGGAGGCAGCCCCCTCCCACAGCCTCTGTGCTCGGGCAAAGTGCAAGGAGGCAGCTGCACCCAGAGGCTCCCAGGTGGAGCAGCAGTGCTATAGCATCTCAGGGACGGAAGGTGCTCAGCAAACACGAACCAGCCCAGCAGCCGAGCTGTGGAAGCAGCACGTGATGCTGCAGTGTGCCCTGCAGAGCACAGCCCAGCCAGGCAGACAGACCGGCCGGATCGGATCCTTCACGGCCAACAGCAGCAGGGCAGCAACACCCACAACAGAGCACAGGGCAGGCCGGGGCAGCACAGCCCAGCAAAGCCAACTCTGCCAAAGGTAAAGCGGGGCCGCTTTGGGACAGCGGCACCTCTCCAAGCACGCCTGCAAGGGGCACCGGCTCCGCTGCAGCTCATGGAAATGACTGGCACGCAAAACCTCTGCCCGCAGCCGGTCCGGGGATGCCACCACATCGGCTCTGCGCCGGTCCCGGCGTACCTGGGAACCGCGGCGGGGCGGCAAGGAGCCGGTCAGCTTCAGCTGCGGGGCGGGAGGCGGCTCGCACATCCCCCGTGAGCAACCGGCGTGATCCACACGTTTGGGGTAACCGGGCGGGGCGCAAGAGGACACGGCATTCATCAGAGCGGGTCAACGGCGACGAGAGATCCGGGAGGGAGAGCGCAGGGACGCGCCGGGCAGCAGCGGAGCTCCGCGCACAGCGGCCTTCCCGGCACCCAGCAATGCGCGGCGATGAGCCGCCCGGTGCCGGCCGTCAGCCCACGGGGTCAAACCGGGACAGCGCCGGGCCCTGTCTGTCTGTCTGTCTGTCCGTCCGTCCGTCCGTCCGGGGGTCGGCGGGACAGAAGCGGCACAGACAGCACGTTGGCAGGGCGGCTCCGGCCGCCTTCACCCGCGGCACAGCTGAGCTCTGCTCCCGGCCGGCAGCCCGACGCACACGGAGGCCCCGCACCGGGACGCTGCGAGGACGGCACAGCCTTCGCGTAGGCCGCTCCCCAGGCAGCCCCCGCCAGGCCCCAAGGCTGCACCCCGACCCGGCGCTCCTTTCCCAACAAGGCCCGGCACCGCAGACGCCCGGCACGGCCCCCCCCGGTCCCCGCAGCCCCGGCCCCGCTCCTCACCGCCGCCCGCGGCCTCCGCCCGCCGCACCCGGAAACGCGGCCCAGCGGCGCCCTCCGCCTCCGGCCGCCCCGTAACAAAATGGCGCCCGCCGCTCCCCTACTGCGCCTGCGCGCCCGTGCTGCGGAAGTGGGCGGAGCCGAGCGCCACGTTGGAGGGGACGGGCGGACATGTTGGGAAGGGCGCCGTGCCTCGGGGCCTCCAAAATGCCGAGGTATTTTGGCGGTCGTCGGGGCGTCCTGGGACGGATGAGAGCGAGAAGCAGCCGAAGAGAATGCGCTCTGCGCTAAGAGCCGCTGCACAGAAGCGGCCCAAGGCCTGCTCCTGTTATCCGCCATCTTGGGAAGGTCGCCCGGCGCTATTCCGGTGGCCATTTTGAGGCGATCACGTGGTTCGTTACTGCCGCCATGTTGGGGAGGCCACAGCGCCCCACTGCGGCCATCTTAGGAAGCTCGCTGTTCGCTATTGCGTCATCCGTGACGTCACCACCAGCAACGTGACGTCACGCACGCACATCACGACGTCACCCCGCGCGCCGGACGCGTGGTCGGGATTGCTGTTTATTGGCGCTCAAGCTCTTTTTTTCTTTTTTTTTTTTAATCCTTTTTTCCTCCTTTTTCTTAAAAAATAAATTTACAATTAAAGACGCATTTGGTACAAAATATACACATTCTGGGGCCCAGGGCCCAGGCGGAAGCGGGGATGGGGCCATGGGGACACATACAAAAATAGAGGGGGCCCGCGGGGGGTGGGGAGGCCCCAGGGTCCCCCGGGCAAAGTGCAGAGTGCGGGCGGGCGCCGCTCACTGCCCGCCGGGCTCCAGCTTGTAGGACAGCTCGAAGAGCAGGTTCTGGTTGTCGATCACCTGCAGCTGCCGCACGTAGGCCTTGGTCTGCAGCTGGCTGGGGGACGGCTCCAGCTCCAGGCCTGGGGAGCGAGGGAGGAGAGGATGGCGTGGGGCTGTGTGCCCCCCAACCCCACAGGAGGCTTCATCCCGTGTCCTGGATCCCTGTCCCTGAACCCCGTGGCCCCAGCTCCACCTGGATCCCCGTCTTGGATCTCACCCCCGCATCCACATCTCCATCCCCATCCTGGAGGATCCTGTAACCCACTCCCAGCCCATCTTGCCATGCTGGATCCCCATCCTGCATTCCTACCCCAGCCCGGATCTCGCATCCCCATCCCGCAGCCCCATCCCACAGCTTCCCCACCCCAGCAGATGTAGGGCCAGGATCTGTGCCCCCACTCACACAGCGGGCGGCTCCGGTACTTGCGGATGGTCCTCACCTTCTCGGCAATGCAGTGCTGGAACACACAGCAGCCCCGTCAGCTCCCCCAGAACCCTGCAACCCCCCCCCCCATTCACCCTTGGGATGTTTCTGTGGACCCCCCAGGACCCCCGGATCCCCACTGTGCCCCCCCTGGGCACAGCACCCACCAGCTTCTCCACGTTGACCAGCCCATCCAGGAGGGTTTTGCTGCCTTCGTGCAGAAAGGTCAGATCTGAGAGAGACAAGGAAGTGAGGGCTGGCCCCATGGGGAGCAGCAGGGCCCCCTCAGAACGTCCCCCCACCGCACCTTTGAGGATGAGCGGAATGAAGGGGATGAGGGGGGGCTTCATCTTGGCCAGCACCTCCCGGTAGGTCTTGTGGTTCCTGCAGGGGTCCTGGGGAGGGCGATGGGGGGGTCAGGGGCGTGGGCAGCTCCCCCCACACAGGGTGCACCAACCAGCCATCCACAGAGAGCAGACATCCCCAGGAACACCCCGACCCGCTGCTTCCAGAGCATCCACGGAGCTCCCTGATGCTACAAGCATCCCCCCACACACCCCCATTACAAGCAGACCCCCCCATGGAAGCCCCAGACCCCCGCGCCCGCGCTGCCCCTCACCGTCAGGTTCTCAAATTTCCGAAACAAATTCTTGAATTTCCCTGGGAGCTTCTGCAAGACAAAACCCCATGGGGGGCTGTGAGCAGCTTGGGGGGCCGGGGGGCCGGAGTGGGGGGTCCCGCACAGCCCCTCACCTCCCAGGTGAGCCGAAGGCGGCTGATGGCGGCGTTGTTGAGCCCGATGACGATGGCGTAGAAAGAGAGCATGTCCTGGTTCTGCTTACATCTGCAGGCGGTGGGTGAGCCCCAGCAGCCCCCCCCCCCGCGGCCCCCTGCAGCCCCCAGCCCTGCACTCACATGGCAGCGATCTTGATGAGTTTCTTGAGCAGATGCGAGCGTCGACCCAGCGACTCGCAGAGCAGCAGCTCCGTGCCCACCCAGTGCTGCACCTCACTGCACCGCTGCAGCAGCAGCTCCAGGTTGGCCGTCTCGCGCCGCCCGCGCTCCCCATGGAAGACGTAATCCACAAACTCCAGCTGCGGGGGGAGGTTGCGGTGTTGGGGGGTGGGGGGGGCGCCGCAGGGACCCCCATTGGGGCAGCCCTGGGGGAGGCACCCGCGTCCCCCCGACCTCGTGGATGCAGCGGAAAAGCTCCCAGTGGAAGGCGGTGAGGTGGTTGGCGATGTCCTCGGGCTCCACGCGGTGAATCTCGCTGTCCCCTGGCACCACCTGGATCTCCTCTGGGAGCGGCACCTGCAATGGGGGGCGGGGGGGTCCGGGGTGGCTGCAGGATGCGGAGGGGTCTCACTGCGGCCCCACCGACCCCCCCGGCGCTCACCAGCGACTCAAAGGTATCGCGGGTGCAGGCGAAGAGGTGGCTGTTGATGCCCAGCGTGGTGAAGACGCACTCCTCGCTGGGCTGCAGCACGGCTTTCTCTGCAGGCAGAGCGCATTGGGGGTGGGGGGGAGGGGGGTCAGCGCTCACCCCACACCCCGTGCCCCCCCCCCCCCATGGCCCCATAACCACCTCCAGACGAGGCCACGGTGACGAGGATGAGCGCATCATCGCGGGCGCTCTGCTCCTCTGAGTACTGCAGCTTCTCGGTGACGGAGGTGAGGATGTCCTGCACTGAGGCCGAGAGGCGGCTGCGGATGGTGACGTACGAGTGGTCCGGCATGTAGACACGGCAGAAGACTGCGGACGGACAGACGGATACGTGGGGTAGCAGAGCGGGCCAGGACCCCCGGCGGGGCGGCGGGGTCACTGCGGTCGGGACCCCGGGGGTTCGGGGCACGGCGCTCACTCTCGTCGGAGCCACGGAAAGCCACGCGCGTCTGCAGGCAGGCATCGATGCGGCGGAAGTGGCGGAACAGCGGCTTCACCTGTTTGCTCGGGGGCGGGGTCTCGTCGGGGACCCTGCGGCACCGCGTGGTGTCAGCAAAGGGCACCGGGGGAAACGGAGCGGTGGGGGCCGCACACAGATCCCCTCCCCGCTCTGGTGGGGTATCACAGGGGCGGTCTGATGGGCCTCAGGTGCAGGGCATTCTCGAGGGTCGCAACCCCATGTGTCCCAGAGAAACCCCGTGGGGACCCCGCACGCCCCATAGAAACACCTTCCTCTATGCAGGGACCTCACTCCTGGGGTACCCCTCCACCCCATAGCACTCCATGCACAAAAGAGGGACCCGCTCACAACCCCTGTGCTTCATCAGGACCCCAAGCACCCCACGGGGACTCCATGAGCCCTACCAGGACTTCATGCACCTCACAGGAGCCACCTGAACCCCTTCAGAACACCCTGTGCACACACACCCCCCCCCCGATACCCTCTGCACCCCATCAGGACTCCATGTACTGCACTCCCATCACCACATCGGAGACCCCTGGCACTCCATGGGGATCCCACTCACTTCAGCTCCACCGTCTCCACCAATTGGTGCAGTTTCAAGATCTCATCCTCCAGCTCATGGTACAGAGATGCGTCCTTCATGATGAGCAGGTACAGCTCCTGGGGGGCGAGAGGGGTTAGGGGGAGGGGGGGGAGGGAAGCCGCGGGGGGGGGGGAGGGCTGCACCCACCTTGATGACCTTCCCCGCGCTCTCCTCCTCCTGCAGCAGCCCCTTGTAGGTCTCGAGGAAGTGCAGCAGCACCGCCAGCACCGCTCGCTTGCGCCGCAGCCCGGACCCGTCCTCCCAGCGCTGGGGCGGCCCATCGCCCGCCAGCACGAAGGTGGCAGCGTTAAGGAGCAGCGGGGACACGGGGACCTCCTCACACCAGGGAAGGGCACCGCGATGCCCTCCTCACGGCCGCCCCAACGGGCGCCCTCGTGTCACCCCCGGCACAGCCGCTGCTCACGCTGATGTCACCGTCACACCCACCCGTGTCCCCCTCCCGGTACCCCCACCCCTGTCTTCTTCCCTCTCCCCCCCCGTTCCCACCTTCAGGTCCTCGCACTCCCCCCGTGCATCTGTACGCGCCCCCTCCCGCAGCCCCCCGACGCCCCCCCCCCCAGCGCCCCGAGGATATTGCTGGTGCAGCTGCTGCAGGAAGAGCTCGGTGGGCAGGAACAGCGAATGCGTGAGCACGATGTCATCCAGCAGCGAATCTGGGGGGGGGTCGGGCGGGGGTTGGGCACGACACCTCCACCCCAAACCCCGCACCGGGCCCATCCCCGCGCCCCACGCGGAGCCCCGCGCTGACTCAGAGCCCCTCCCGCTCCGCAGCGCCGTGGGGACACCGCGGGGGCCGCACCGGGACGGTGACATCGGGGGACACCGCAGCGGGGCCGTCCGGGCGGGCACTGAGGCACGGGGACGCGGTGCCGGGAGCGGTGCCACGGCCGCGACCTTTGGACGCGCAGTGCAGCTCCGCGTCCGACCCCGTCCCACGGACACAACCGCGGGGCAGCCCCTCCCCGCAACCCCCCCCGCACGGAGCTCCGAAAGCGGCACAACGCCCCCCGGGCACCGCCTGACCCAGACCCCGCACTGAGGCCGAGGTGGTGCGGGATTGTCCGGGCAGGTGCGCATCCCCAGCCCGCCGTGCAGCGCCTCCGGAGCGCTGTGTGGGGGCGGCGCCGGGATCCCCTCGCGGGTCTTCGCGTCCCCATTCCCCCCCCAGCCCCCCCCGAGCGCCGCCCCCTCCGTCCCTGCCTCGGTTTCCCCACGGCTCCGCAGCACCGTCCGGGTGCCCCGCAGGGACCACGCGCGGCTGAAGGGCCGCCATCCCCGCACCCCCTGCGCCGCCCCCCCCGCTCCACACGCGCGTGTCGCTGCACGCAGAGCCAACGCTGCCAGTCCCGGCGCGCGCCCCCCCCCGAGGGCTCCGCGGTTTCGGTGCGCCCCACCCCGGCCCCCCCCGGCCCCATCCCCGGAGCGCGGCCGTGGGGAGGTGAGGGGGGGGGGTTGGACTTGAAGGCAAACCTCGGCGGGGGGCTCCCACAGTGCGGAAGGGACGCGCACCCCCCCCCCCCCTTCCACCGCCTCGGGGTCAACGGGAGCGCCGAGAGAAGCGTTACACATTAACCGGGAATCTGCGCGGTGCCACCGCTCTGCGGGTGCCCCCCCCGCACGCCCTCATCCCCGTTCCTCTGCTCCCACGCTCCCCCCGCACCGCGGCATCGCGCATTGCAGCACCCGGCGGTGCCGCAGCATCCCCCCCCCCCCCCCCCTCCCGGCACTCCCCGTACCCCCATACCTGCTCGGCAGCCCCGGCCGTGCCCCCCCCCCCGCCGGCAGCCGTTCGAGGACGGCGCTCAGGAGGCGCTCGGGGGGCGCGGGCGCGGCGGGGGGGCAGCGGCAGCAGCAGCGCGGGGGGGGCGGCGGCGGCGGCTCCGGGCTGAGCGCGGCGCGGTCCCCCCCCGGGGACAGCTCCGACGGGGACAGCGCCGACGGGGACCGCGGCGGCGGCGGCGGGGGGGGGACCTCGGCGGGACGCAGCTCCAACCGTCGCCCTTCGCCCCCCGCCGGCCCCGGGGGCTCCTCCGGGGGGGCCGCGCTGTGGCGGCGCGGTGCGGGCAGCGGTGCGGGCAGGTGCGCGCCGGGCTTCTTCAGCAACTTCTCCAGCGGCTTCATGGCCGCGGAGCGCCTCGCGGGGCCATGGGCGGTGCGGGGCGGTGCGGGGCGGGGGGGCGGCTCCGCTCGCGCTCGGGCTCCGGAGAGAAGTGGGGGGGGCCCGGCGCCGCCGCCCCGCCCCGCCCGGCACCTGCCCGCCCCCGGCCCCGGGCGGAGCGTCGCGGTCACGCGTGGCCCCCCCCGACCGCAGCGCCGCGCAGCTCCGCGCTCCGCCGTACGCCCACCGCGCGGCGCGCTCAGGCAGCGCGCATCCCACGCCGCCCCCCCCCCCACCCCCCAAAACCGGCGTGGGAAAAGCCCGTGGGTACGACGGGGGGGATGAGGGGGGGTTCCCGCTGCGGCTTTGTTCGCGGTTCGCCTCCATCCCTCGTTGCCTGGCAACTCCCGGCCGCGGGGGGGGGAGTCGGGGGGCGGTGGCAGAACGCAGCCGTGTCCCCGCGTGTCCCCTCCACGCGCGGCTCCGCGTTGCGCTCCCCTCGGACCCTCAGCGCGGGGTCTGGACGGGAAACCGAGGCACGGTTGGGGGGGGCGTCACGGGGAACGCGGCCCAAATCCGCACTGCCCCAATTGCAGCTCGGGGAAGGGGCAGCGCTGGCGCGGAGCTGTTATAATTAATGCGCTGTTATTTCTCCTAACGAGCCGGGAGCTGCCGCGGCTCTGCCCGCCCGATGCGCCTCCATTTGCAGCCGTGGGGTGGGGGAAGAGCTCTGGGGGGGCACAGCCCCCGGGCTCCGCTCAGAGCGCCCACGGATGGGAGGAAGGAGCGCACGGAGGCAGAGAACCCCACGAGCCCACCTCCCTGCAGCACGGGGCTCACAGCCCCTCGCCCACCGCTGCTGCCCCCAAAGCCGCCCCTCGAGCACTTTGGTGGGCGTGGGTTCCCTCCTTGTGGCAACGGGCCGCGCTCCGTCCTCACCCCCACGCGCTGCCCCGGCCCGGGGGGGGGAATTGGAGCCCCGCGGTCCCGCACCGCCCTCATCTCCGCATCGATCCAACGCTGCTTCCTCAGCGCTCGGTGCCACCGCGGCCGCGATGCTCGGAAACGCGACCCACACCGGCACCGAGACCCACCGGGCACGGCCAAAGCAGCGCCGACGGGAACCGAGCAGCCACCGAGCCGGGCGGCAACGGAGCGGCAGCCCACGCGGGGCGCGCCGGGACTCGCCGGGCGCCGCCCCCAGCAGCACCGCGCCCGGTCGGGCCGGTTGTGCGGGCAGATGCGCGGTGCCCGTGAAGCTCCGTGCCTCCGAAGGGCCGGGCAGCAGGAAGCCCGCAGTGCACGGAGCGGGGGTGGAGGCTCCGCGAGCCCAAATCTGTGCACGGCATCCCGCGTTGGGAGCCTCCAGCTGCGGCCGGGGCTGCCCGGGGTGCAGCCGTGTCGGAAAAGCAGCAGAGAGGCTCTGCGCGAAGCTCAGCTGCTCTTACAGCCACAGGGATAGGCTCGCAAATTTAAAAAGAGAATTGAGGATGAGAACGGAGCAGGGCTGGGGCTGGGGTCGCGCTGCGGCACGGCCGACACACGGAGTCCAAATACCCAAAAGAAACAAATCAGCTTTACTGAAGGAGCCGGTTCATTCCTTAAATAAAAACAGAGACCACAATCAAGCAGCTGAGTTGAACATCCTAGAAAGGGAGAAGGGGAGGCTCAGTAGAAGGGGGAAGTGGGTGAGACCTCGCGGCCACTGACCCCGGTGCCGCCTGAGGGTCAGGGGAGGGGAGGAGGGCCGGCAGCCGGGGGGCGGTCCGGGCACGGAGGCGACGGCCCCGAGCAAAGCGGAAGCCGACGGCATCCCGCATCGCAGCCGGACGCGGCCTCCCGGTGCAGAACCGCCGGGTCCGACGCTGGGGTTCCACGGCCGCATCCCTACGTGCCGCTCCTCTCCTTCACCTTCTCACCTTTGCTGTCCTGGGGGAGCAGAAAGGAGACGGAGGCTCAGCACCGCGCAGCGCTGCGCCCGCCGCCCGCCGCCCCGCCGCCCCCCCGCTCCAGGGCCGGCTCCCGGACGAGGCCCCGCGGAGCGCGGCTCCCCGCAGGGACGCCCGGGCGGATCTCCAGCGGCTGCGCTTCCCGGCTGGGGGAGGCGCAGGGGAGCAGCGCTGCCCGACCCGGGGCGCAGCGGCACGGCGACACACGACAAAGGGAAGCAGACACACACGTGGCACTCGGGCGCACACACAGAGCAGAGCTGCGCTGAGAAACCCGTCCCCAGCGCAGAGGAACGGCTCTCGGCTCCGCGCAGCCTTGAAGGCCGCCGCCTGTGCCGGGTGCTGCCAGCATCCTGGCGCTGCTCTCCCACCGCAGGCACTGCCTCCTAAGCTCAGTGCTGGCCTTATTCCCTCTGAAGCTTTTTTTTTTTTTCTACCCTGAGCAGAAAGAGAAAGCGAGAGTCAAATTCCGACTTACTTTTTACGTGGGTTAGATTTAAAGTATTTAGAAACTCAAATTAACTGGAGCCCTGCTTACCACCTGCAACGAGAAGCTGAGGTTTGGGACATGTCAACAACGAGGCAATTTTAAAACGTCCTTGGGACAACACATTTTTTTTCGGGTGGGAGAGGGAGGCCGCAGCACCACACACACCTCAGGGGACAGCAGCAGGCAGACGGGCAGAAGGGACGGGGAAAGGGGCGAGCAGAGGGGCGAGCAGAGGGGCGAGCAGAGGGGCGGTACCTCGGGAGGCGGCGGCTTGATGGTGACGGGCTGCGACGTCCTCCGCGGCGGTGAGGGTTTGGGCTGCACTTGCTGCTGGACAGGGTTGTAGTACGTGACCCCCCCGAACACCTGGGACTGCGCCTGCTGCCGGAGAGCGGCACGCTGAGCACCGAGTGCCGCCCGCCGCCGCAGCACCGGCATCGCGGGGAGCAGACGGCAGCGGATCCAGGCCGCGCCCCCAGCCCCGTGCGGCGGCTCCGATCCGAGCAGCGAAGCTCGGGAAGCCGCGGGGCTGCGGGGCTCCGTCCTGCCGCTGCGTGTCAGCCGTGCGCCTCGCGCGGCCTCGGGGACGTCGGGCTGCCGCCGGGAGGGGCGGGCGCTGCTCCCCGCTCACACGGAGCCGGGCCAGAAACGGGAAAAGCCAGCCCTGCGAGCACTGCTCACAGCCAGGGCTGCCCGGGCGGCGCTGAGGAACGGCAGCGGGCAGCTCCCGGTGTGCACAGAGGGCATCCGAACAGTTCTCAGGATGCCTTTGGCTGAGCAGCTCCCAGCCTCCCGTGGGACGGCGCCCAGCTCGACGGGGGAAAATCCTCGCTTTGGATCCTCCAACACAGCCACGCCACACTCGAGACCCCAAACGCGAGTTAAGCAAAGCACAGAGGTGGCGGCGGTTCCTTCCGGTTCCCACCTCCGGCAGAGAAGCAAACGGCAGCAAACAGCCGCCGCTGGGGGCAGCCCTGCTGCTGCAGCCCCCTCCCAGGCTCAGGGCACCCGCGGCTCCGGCAGGAAGGAAAGGCAGCACGGCTCACCTGGGTGTTGGAATAGAGGTGCGGAGGGGGCGGCGGGGGCAGCGCTCCCGGGGGGTACGGGTAGCCAGGATTCCCAAAATTCATGACTCCAGGCGGGGAGAAGTAAGTCGGGGCGAGCAGCTGCTGCGGCGGGGGCTGCCCTGGGGGCATGGAGACCGGCGGGGGGTAGAGGCCAGGGTTTGCCATCGGGGCTGCTGGCTGGTGGGGATGTAAACCTGAAAGAGCGACAAGGAGGAGCTGAGCGCCACGTCCCGGTGGGGCGCTGTGGGGCAGAGGGCAGCAGGCTGCACCATCCGTGCTGCAGGCGGGAGAAGGGCAGAGGCTTCTCCTACAGCCTGCGGAGCTCAGCTCCCGCGCTGGGGAAAGGGAAGGGGAAGCTCTGAGCAGAGCACACGGCCCCCCCGGCCTCGGCCCCAATCAGCACGTCCACTTCAGGAAACGGTTCTGCAGGCGGCACGGAGCACAGCCCCATCCAACAGCTCTCATTTCTGCTTTTCTCTTCTGAGCTACGAGCGGCAGGGAATGAAGACCCAGCCTGGCACGGCAGCTGGCGCAGCCCCACACCATGCTGCCGGGGAAGGGCCTGGCCAGGCTGCCTGCAGCACTGTGGCCGTGCAGCCAGAGGCTGCCAAGGCAGTGAGATGATCTCAGGCTGCACTGCCTGCGAGAGCCAGGCACGGCTATTTTTCCTCCCTGAAGATTGATACGAATTCAACCCTAATGCACGAGGGAAGCAGGTCTCCTCCACGCCACAGAAAAGGACAGAGGCTGTGCAAAGCCGGCCTGGCCGCCCCGTGCTCCTCACCTGGATGAGGGAGGTGCATTTCTGGCTGCACGATCATCCCCTGGGGCGGCAGCGGGGCCGGGTTCTCACTGTGGGTGTAGATTGGTCCCTGGAATTGTACTGCAACACAGAGCAGAGCGTAAGAAAACCCCCACCACGTTTTCTTCTACTGCAGCACCGCAGATCCAAGCCACCTACAGTTACTGCACTCGAATGCAGTGCTGCAAGCTCCACTCCTACCAGAACAGCACACAGCCCACCCAGCTCCCAGATGCTGCGTGCTCCCACAGCAGAGCTTCCTATGCCCTTTACAATGCAGAACGCTCAGGGAATTTCTCCTCTCGCACTTTACACGCCGGAATAAATTCCAAACCCATCTTTGCGTTCAGCAGCCCTCCCTGCTGCTCTGATTTCTGGCCAGTTTTAACGTCTCACAAAAAAAGCAGCTCCTTTGGAGCCCCTGCCTGGGGCAGGAGAGCAACGCTGCACACCGAGAGCAGCCCAGGGCGGCTCAGAGCAGCAGAGACAAAGCAGCGCCGCTCCTGACAAAAGGAAGGGGAACAAAGCCCAACTTCAGCGCCTGAGCACAGGGGACAGGAGGGGGTCACTCACGTGGGTCGTAGTAGTGCCCCTCCATGATGCTGATGTGCATGGGGGGGGCCGGCTCTGGCACTGGGGGTCTCTGCCGCTGCGAGGAGTAGCGCTTGGCACGGCCGCCCTGCACCGCCTGCGGGAGACAAAGCAGCAGTCGGTGCCCAGCAGGGAGCCCCCACTGCCCCCCCCGGC